CAAGTTGCCCAGGTTTACACAGGGAGTCAGCGGGATCCTGAAGTCAGTTTTCCGCCTCCTCCTCTCTCCATTCCAGGCCCCACCTTCCACGGCCGCGTGGATACCGACCATCTCCCACCCCACGGGCCTTTTAAGAACTCTGACAGTACGCAGCGCTCATGCCCGTGGTGCCCGTGCAGCCCGGGCTTCAGCGGAGCGAGCTAAGTAGTTGCAGGGTCAAAGTTAGGTTCAGGGGTTCAAGCTGGACTCCCGTGTTCTCCTTGCTGGAAATGGGAGACGTGTGCTCTAAAGGCAGGAATATAAGTCAAGGACACTCGCAGCCACCCAGGAAAGGTGAGTGCCCCTAGTACCCCTCCCTCCACTTAAATCCATGCTGAGCCCCCACGCACATAGATGCAGTCGCTAATCTGAAATGGGGTGACTGTCTCCTTAATGGCTGTTATGACATTGAGATATAATAGTTGGGGTTATGTGCCAGCCCCTCGTGGCTACCATATTGGATGGCTCAGACAGTTAAATTGGGTGGATTCTGGCGTGGAAGGGGGTGGGCTTAAAGGTGAACCCCAAGAGGGAAAGACAAGATTACAGCTCTGGTTAGCAGGGATGAGATGACAGATTCTGCTCTCAGTTTCCAACACCCAACACCCAGCTAGGGCAGCCGCAGGGTGACCGAAGGCAGGGCCTCTATTCTGAAGCCAAATAGGCCATGTTTGGGGGTTGGCGGTTGTTTGATATTCTCTAGGTAGCACAGCAGTTAAGAGCTCAGCCTCTGATAAGGCAGGCCTGCATTCAATTCCAGCTGCTTCTCCGTCCTTCGCTGTGTGTCTTTGGGTAGTGATTATACTTCTCTGAGCCTCGTGGGAACGTGACACTTGTGTCAGGTGGCTATGAGGACTAAGTGACATTCAGCATGGAGTCTGGTGTCCAGTCTGCCTACAGTAACTGTCGTTGTTAGCTGCCATTGAATTGATTCTGACCCATGATGACCCCATGTGACAGAGGAGGACTGCTCCACAGGGTTTTTTTTTTTTTGGCTGTAATCTTTAGGGAAGCAGATTGCCAGGCCTTTCTTCTGCAGAGCTATTGGGTGGATTTGAACTGCCAACCTTTAGGTTAGCAGTTGAGCACAAACCGTTTGCGCTGCCCAGGGACCTGACAGTAACTGTGGCTATTGGTAGTTGTAGAAGTAATAGTAATGTTGTCTTTGTCGCCTGCCTGTCCTTCCTATGTGGTAATCCTAGGTGATTGTATAAAGAATGGCAACTTTGGGGGGCTTCTGAGATCAGCTAGCCCAGCCCTCAGATGGGAAACCTGAGGCCCAGGGGAGAAGGGAAGCTGGCTAGGACAGAGCTAGAACCCCAGCTGGGCTCCTGGTGCTGGTTCCAGGTGGTCTGCCCTACTTTGTGGCGGAGAGGAGGTTTTTCCTGGATAGTGTGTGGGTCCTTGGCCCAGATCTCCAAATGTGGAGGACCCCCGCCCAAAGGATGGCTCCAAGCCTGTCTCCCTCCCCTTTGCTGATGTTCCAGTATGGGTGAGCATGATAGTGGGCCCAGGATGCGGGGACCTGAGCTACCCAGAGACCAAGTTGGTGATTGGGTTGCCCAGTGGTGGCTCCTGGTAACAGCTGAGCCACAGGCCACCTGCCAGCCCTAAAGCTGGCCCTAGACCCTGGCACAGTGCTCGCCTCTCTCCCGAGTGCTCACGCTGTGCATCATTGTTGTTAGTTGCTGTGAGTCGATTCCAGCTCATACATGCAGAGAACTGTTCCATAGTCTTCAATATCTGTGAGCTTTCAGAAATAGATCTCCAGGCCTGTCTTCTGAGGCACCTCTGGGTGGGTGTGAACTGCCAACCTTTCAGCTAGTAGTAAGGGCTTTACCGTTTTTCACCACTCCAGGGCTCCAGCTGTGCTCTGGTCTCTTTGAATTCCATCTCTGGTCCTGGCCCTGCCCCTTTTGGGAGAGGAGCCAATGGCCTGGACTGGTTCAGGGTCACTCACAGTAGCAATGTCAGGATTCCAGCCCAGGTGTGGCTCTCTTCAAAGGCTGTGGCCTTGCCCCTGGGCTTGCCTGCTTCCTGGGGCTGCCCTGGGCACTGTGATGCCTCTAGGCGGGCTGCGGGGTATATATGGGGGGTGTAGGGGAGAGGACTGGAGTGCCTCCAGGCAGCCTGGCCCCAGAGACCTGGCTGCCTTTCACCATCCTCGCGGCATTGTCTCAGACTCTCCTAGTCCTCATCTGTAAAATGGGGATGATTTTATGTGCCTGATAGGATTGTTGTGAGAATCAATCAAGTGAGGTCAGAGATGCATTTTGTCACCTGCCCCTGGCATTCGTAGTATCTATAATTCTCCTGGTAGCTTGTTACCCTTTACCCGTGTGCCTGCTCCCCAGGGGCTAGGCGGGGGTGATGAGCTTGGCACACTGACTTGCCTCAGAAACCCCCTGAGCCTCACTTTCCTCCTCTGTGGAATGATGGTTCCTGGGAGGCTGTGGGAGAGCCTGGTGCTGAGCCCAGCAAGCTACCAGGGACCCAGTGAGGTGTGTCACCAGGCTCGGGGTGAGGTGGGGTGGGGCCTTTCCCTAAGGAGGCAGAAGTCCCCACTGCAGGGTCACATGTAGGGCATCCTTTCCCTCCCTACTCCCAGCTCCCCACCTCTGCCCCAGACCTCCCCACGCCAGCCATCTGGACAGGGCTGTATGTGGGAGGGGTGCCCACATCAGACTGGGGCCTCCAGTCCCCCCAGGCCCATGGAATAAGCGGGAACCAGGCAAAAGTAGGGACGGGATGTGGGAAAGAGTTCGTGCTGTGGGGTGTGGATCCCAGCTCTGCCACCTGCTTGCTGTGTCACCTTGGGTAGGTCACTTCCTCTCTCTGAGTCTCCATTTCTTCCTCTTGGACACCCCCACCTTGCAAGGGGATCGTGGGGCTCCAGTGAGATACAGTGGATACAGAAATGCCTGGCACACAGTAAAACCAAGACAAAACCATACCCATTGCTGTTGAGTCGATTCTGACTCATGGCGGCCCCATGTGTGACAGAGTAGAACTGCTCCAGTGGGTTTTCTTGGCTGTAACCTTTATGGAAGCAGATTGCCAGGACTTTCTTCTGCAGTGTGGCTTGGGTGGGTTCAAACAGCCAACCTTTTGGTTAGTAGTCAAGTGCAAACTGTTTGTGCTACCCAGGGTCCTGCGGCACACACTAAGTGCTGAGCTCTGTGGGGCAGGGATGGTCTCCTGCCAATCCCCAGGTAGCCAGGTGGGGGGTGGCTATGTGCTGGGGCGTCTGGCCCGGCTGTGATGGGGCTGGCCAGGAAGATGTCCACTGCTCAGCCACTCTGGCCTGTCTCCACGCCACACAGCCACCACTGAAGCCTGGCAGATGCCAGGCACAGAGAGGCGCTGGGGAGGCATATAGTGATGGGGGGATGAGGGCGTCACCCCAGACCTATGCATGGTACAGGGACAGGGCCTGAGGGCCCAGGTTGGGTCCGCCTTTGCCACTCTACGGGTTGACTGCAGGCCACAACCCAGCGGCCACCAGCCTGTGTGCTGATACGTAAACAGGGTGAATGACTGTCTACCTAAGAGTGTCGGAAGTCAGTGCAACCCCAAATGCAAAGTGCCCCCAGCACGTAGGGGCCAGCAGGCTCCTGGCCGGCTTCCCTGGGGCTCCACGCCGGCCAGCTGGGAGGAGATGGCCTGTTTTCCTCCGAAGGGGAAGAAGAAAGAGTGAAAACAAGCGCTAAAAACAATCCAACAGCTGAGACACCATCTGTGTTTTTTTTTTTCTTTCTCTTTGCTTTTAAAACAATATAGTGCAGACCGCACTTCTCACAGTAGAATATAATGGTCAATTTTAGTATAAAAAAAAAAACATTCTCAGAGATTTGTAAATGCACTTAGTGCTTAAACAGGCCTTGGAGAGATACAGTACCGCTTCTGGAGTGCCGGGGTGGGGGCAGGACTTGGGGGACTCGGGCCCTGGGGACTTAGTCGGGAAGACCCCTGCCTGCCTTCCCCACCTGATGCTGGGGGTGGGACTTGGAGGTTGGTTTGCAGGAAAGGAATCAGCTCCCCAATTAAAAACGGTCGGTTGCCCCCTCGCTAGCTTCAAGGAGACCCCTGAGGAGGGCAGGGTGGGGTCCCTCTAAATGGATCTAAGATGGCAGGCCCGCCGCTAGCCCCACTAATGCCTTTGTGCGAACATGAAAATGGCGCCCCTTCCTCAAAATGCGGAAAATTGTAATGGATATCCAAGTCTGGGGTGCGTGTGGCGTCTCCTTGGACGAGGTGCCCTTGTGCAGTATACAGCCTGCACAACTGTGCCTGGCAGCCCTGTAAGTATATGTACTGGGGGAAAAGGGGAAGGTGGTAGTCCAGGGTTTGGAAAATAGGGATGGGATTCTGTGTTAGGAAGGAATAGGGGGTGGGGAGAGGAGGGATAGGGGGACCGGGAGTCCCTGGGGCCTTTATCGGGGTGGTCTTGACCTAGATTGGCCAGTGGGGCGGGGGGAACAGTGTCGGCCCAGTGACTTCCTGTAGGCCCCCTCTGCTCCTTTTCCAGGAGGCTGGGGGTTTTTGGGAGAGGGGAGCCAGCTGTCTGCCCCACCCGACTCCAGAGCGTCACATTTCCTCCTGTGTCCCCCACCAGCCTGAGCCCCTTTCCCGGGAGAGCCAGAGGGAGCCATTCCTGTTTTCCAGTGGTTTCTGTCTCCTTGCCTCTGCCGGCGTAGATGGAGGAAGGCGCAGACATCAGCGGCTGCTCTGGGCTCTCCCGGGTCCTGGGCAGCTGATACGGGAGGGGTCTCAGTGCGTGAGGTCGCCCTGCGACCCCCATGTCGGGAGGCAGCATGGCTGCAGCCAGCCTGGCTTCCCTGGGGGCATCATGGGCACTCGTGGGCACCGGGGGGCTGGCCCCTGTGAGCCATCCACCCTGCCCTGTGGCCTGCCTCCCCCCAGTGCCCTGTACGTCTGTCCGTGCGTGCGCCAGGTAGGCCTTATCTGTAGACGGGCAGGCGGATGTGGGCGTGCTGGTGGTCAAGCAGCCGGGGCACCGCCACTGTCTCGTAGCCCTTGCCCAGCATCTGCTCCTTGATGCAGGGTGGCCGGATGTCGTTGATGAGATACTCCAGCGACTGCAGGCTGCTGCTCAGCACCGACGTGTTGCACATGCTCTTGCTGGGCAGGCCCGAGAGGGCATCTGTGGGGGGCCCCGCCAGCTCCCGGGCCATCCCCGGCCCCAGCTCGGTGACCGCCACTGTCGCTGTTGGATTGTAGCAATCGCTGGTGGGGGTCACCAGCACGCTGTTCCAGGGGGTGGCAAAGTACTGGCCCACGGTGAAGTTGGCGGGCAGCCCAATGCCGCAGTTGAGGGGTGACCCACTGGCCCGTTCATACGCCCGCCCCCCACACGCCTCGGGGGACTTGCTGGCCACCGTGCCGCCACTGTAGGCACGCAGTGGCTGGGGTGGTGGTGGGGGCGGCTTCTGCGGCCACAGCAGGTAATCCAGGCCGCCATCCACGTACCCTGCAGGCTTGGTGGCCCCGGCCAACGTCAAGGCTGGCGTGGTTCCAGGACCCAGCTCTGCACCTTTCCGGCAGTCAGGCAGCCCAGCGGTGGCCGAGTAGGCCATGCTGGGGAAGCTGGGCATGGGGCCGTGCTTGGCCGGGCTGGGGTGGGGGATGGCCACACCCTGGCAGGCAGCGGGTGCAGCGCCAGGGGCCTGGCACTGCTGGTTGAGCTGGTAGAGGATGCTGTGGATGGAAGGCAGGTTGGAAGGTGGTAGGGGCAGGCCACGGCCGGGCAGGGGGATGACGGAGGCGGTGGTGGCAGCTGCGGGCAGGCCAGCCGGTGGGGCAGGTGCCTCAGGTGGCTTGGGGTAGGCCAAGGGCCCCAGAGTGCTGGGTGCCGGGTAGGGCGCGATGCCCACCTGCACAGCAGCCGGCGACAGCTTGGTCCGCTTGCCCTCGGCGCTCTTGAGCACACTCTTCACAGGCCCAGTGGGTGCAGCCCCGTTGGAGGAGGAGACGGCGGCCTTGACGATGGCCAGCAGGCCCTGGTAGCCGGTGGTGTGCTGAGGGTAGGGGCTGTAGCGCTGGCCGCTGGTGTCATAACCGTTGACGGTGCGGCTGAGGTGCTTGTGCTGGGGCACCCGGATGTTGGTGGGGAAGATCTTGATGGAGAGCGGGCTGTTGGCCACCTTCTCAGCATAGGCATCCAGCTCGGCCGGGCTCGGGTAGCGGGAGGACTGCATGGAGGTGGCTGCTGGCTCACCTGCAGAGACAAGCGAGGAGATGAAAGCACAGGTGAGCACCAACCCGGCCCCTCCTGCTCCCCCCAAGGGCGCTTAGAGCTGCCTTTCCCTCACCCTTGGTTTCTTCATTCCTTCTAGACTGTTTAAGCCCTTTACCAAAGTGTAAAATACATAAAGTAAACTGCACATATAAGCTTGAACTTTCACAGGGGAACACGCCCAAAGAATAACACCCAGCTCAAGAAATAGAACGTTGCCAGCCCCCCAGAGGACCCCCTTCCAGTCGCTAACCCCCCAAAGTTTAATCACTATCCTAACTTCTAACCACACGGACTAATGGTGCCCGGCTTTTGTACATGGTGAAATGGAATCGTACAGTCTCTACTCATTTGCGTCTGGCTTCTTTAACGTCACATTATGTTTGTGAGATCCACCCAGGCTGCTGTGGGTAGGGGTCGCCAGTTCTTTCTCAGTGCTGGGCAATGAACACTGTGTAAACACCCGGCATGTATTCATCTGCTCTGCTGCTCATGGGCGTCTGGGCTGTGCTGTGCTACAATGAATGTTCTTTTTTTTTTTTTTTTAAATAATTTATAGTGTTTTTGATGAAAGTTTACACAGCAGATTAGGTTCCCCTTCAACAATTTTTACAGAGACTGTTCAGTGACATTGGTTATGACGAATGTGCTTGTAACGCGGCCCCTGGTGCATGTATGCAGTGAATTCTGTTGGGAATGTACCCAGAAATGGAATTGCTGGTTGAAGGGGAAGTCTCTGTTCAGCTTAAGGAGCCCGGCGGGCGCAATGGTTAAGCACTCGGCTGCTAACTGAAAGATCGGTGGTTTGAACCCACCAGCTGCTCCGTGGGAGAAAAGACCTGGCCATTTGCTCCCATAAAGATTATAGCTTTGGAAACTCTATAGGGCAGTTCTGCTCTGTCCTATAGGGTCGCTGTGAGTGGGAATCAACTGAAGGGCACACAGCAACATGTTCAGCTTTAGAAGAAAATGCCAAACAGTTTGCCAAAGAGACTGTGCCCAGTTACACTCTTACCAGCAGAGCCTAGACTTCCAGTGGCTCCTCGTTCTTTTTTGTTTGTACTTTAGATGAAGGTTTGCAGAACGAACTAGCTTCTCATTAAACAGTTAGTACACATATTGTTTTGTGACATTGGTTACCAACCCCATGACACGTCAGCACTCTCCCTTCTCGACCTAGGGTTCCCCATTACCAGCTTTCCTGTCCCCTCCTGCCTTGCAGTCCTTACCCCTGGGCTGCTGTGCCCCTTTAGTCTCGTTTTGTCCTATGGGTCTGTCTAATCTTTGGCTAAAAGGTGTACCTTGGGAGTGACTTCATTACTGAGCTAAAAGGGTGTCCAGGGGCCATACTCTCCAGGTTTCTCCAGTCTCTGTCGGGCCAGTAAGTCTGGTCTTTTTGTGAGTTAGAATTTTGTTCTACATTTTTCTCCAGCTCTGTCTGGGGCCGTCTGTTGTGATCCCTGTCAGAGCAGTTGGTGGTGGTAGCCAGGCACCATCTAGTTGTTCTGGCCTCAGTCTGGTGGAGGCTGTGGTAGTTGTGGTCTGTTAGTCCTTTGGACTCATCTTTCCCTTGTGTCTTTAATTTTCTTCATTTTCCGTTGCTCCTGAAGAGGTAAGACTAGTGGAGTATGTTAGATGGCCGCTCACAGGCTTTTTTTTTTTTTTTTCAAATTAACTTATTTTTTTTCCCATATGAAAATTTATACATACATTGTTATGTGAATCTAATTGCTCTCCCCATACTGTGACAGCACACTCCTCCTTTCCACCCCCCATTCCCCATTCAACCAGCTCCTAACCCTCTCTGCCTTTCCATCTCACGTCTGGACAGAAGCTGCCCATTTAGTCTCTTGTATCTACTTGAGCTAAGAGGCACACTCCTCACAAGTAACACTTTATGTCCCACAGTCCAGTCCAATCCCTGTCTGAGGAGTTGGCCTCGGAAGTTGTTTTAGTTCTGGGCTGATAGAGAATCCAGGGGCCGTGCTTTCTGGGGTTCCTCCAGTATCAGACCATTGAGTCTGGTCTTCTTACTAGAATTTGAGTTCTGCACCCCACCTTTCTCGTGCTCCATCCGGACTCTCTGTTGTGTTCCCCGTCAGGGCGGTCATTGGTGGTAGCCGGGCA